ATTGTGTTTGCACGTGTAATAGGCATGTGGCTCCCTGTACCAGTCCAGCTTTCCAACTGATGATTTCCACATCCTTCAGATCTCTTTGGGTTGTGGTATAAAAGGATCATCTTCTTTGATTTAAAGGTAAGATTAAAACATGAGCCATTAATGAACTGAATGAAATTCTGCAGTGGTACTTTGTGGTACAGTAAGACCAGGATACACACTTTTATTTCTGGAATAATGCAGACTCATTCCAATGCTGTTTAGAGTGGGTCATCTTTTCCCACTGTGACCTAACAGCCAGCATCTTTGACAGCTGAAAATTAGTTCAAATGAAAGAGAGAAAAAGCTTTGAGAGCACCCAAAAAAAGGGAATCACCTATAAGTGCTCAACCTATTGCCCATCTAACTGAGGCTCGTGTATACAACAGACTGCAATACAAGTGCATGTACCAATAAGTATAAAAAACAATGTATTAAAATCAGTGTAACCAAACAATCACATTTTCCTGCTTTCTGAGCTGAACTATGAAGTCCCAGTTGAATTTAGGAAAGATGGAGCTCTGGCATAGGAAGAAAACTTCTATTTACCCTAAAGTGTAGCATTAAAGTTAAAGGGTTTTGGGAGAAATTAAATGGTTGCAAGCTTTTCTCCTTCCCCATTTAGTGTGCTAGACAGTGACACAAACAGTGTCTGATACCAGTGCAGATATTTAGTGCGGTTTACAGGAGATTTGAAAAAATCAGAGGCTACCTGGGATCTAATTCCTGCACAAAAAGCAATGTCTGCCTTAGCCAGCGGGAAAAGCTGAATGCAAAAATAATTAGGGATAACATAAAATAGCTTCTACCTGTGAACAGCAGGAAAACATGTACTGCAAGTAGAGCTGCACGACTAATTGATTTTAGGGGTTTGTTGGCAGTCTGAAAACCAAACACACCCAACAGTAGGTTTTTGAGTTAGCGGAGCTAATGTATCCTATGACAATAGGCTTCACTATGTGGCTTCTCCAAAGTCTAGTACAGCATGAATTTGGAAGTCCTTCCCTCAGAAGGATAATTGTTTTCCATTTGGACATTTATTTTCATAAAATTTACAGGCTTTTGGGTTCCATCCAGACACTGGGTATAATTGTAATTAAGGGGGGGAGGCAGGCACAGGCATATATGCACACAAATATGTGACAAGATGGGGTAACAAATGCTACTTTCTCTCATGATCCTACTGTATTTTTTATAGGAGGAGAAAAAACTAGACCACTATTTTGTCAGACAGTCACACATACTAAGCACTACGCTTGTGTACCCCACAGTGCTGAGATCACTTGGGAAAGAAAACTCTTCCCCATTTATCCATGTGAAGATATATCTCTTGCAGTAGGGTTGAATTACCTTGAGAAAAGAATTATCCCTACTTGACCCTATTATGTCCCGTTTGTATCTCCCAAACAGGATTGCTTTCTCCTCAGAAGAGTAAATGAAAGAAGTTAGGTGAAGGCAAAATCGGGTATCCTTAACTCTAAGCATTTAACAAACCATCAGTGAATAACAAACAGATCCCTTTCCTTTCCTAGCACAGCAACTGAGAACACTGACAGACAACAAGCTCTTTGCATCAGCATATTCTGGGAAAATTTCCCAAATACTGTGCTGCCCTGGTGGTCTAGTGGTCAGAAAAAAATGCCCAAAACAAAACAACAAACCAAGAAGAATTAAAGATAACCTGTTTCAAAAATAGAGACAATGAGGGGAAACAGGACTTGTTTATTCTCCCACAAAAACACTATGAAGTAGCCCTTCTGTTCATTTATCATAGTACAAGCAGAACACCTTCCTAAAACATCTCATCTCTGTGGTTAGTACAGCATTTGTCATAACAGCAAATTTCCACGGTGATACAAGAGCTGTTGAGACAGAGCTATACATAAACACAAAAATACAAAATACTCCTGATTAGCTCCTTACAGGAGAAAGCTGTAGCATAGGCAGTTTTCAGACAGTGACCAGGGTTCAACTGCCCTCCTCCAAATTGCAAACTTGCATGATGAAGCACTCAAGAACCCCTCTTGGGACAATTCCTGCTCAGAGCTGATGTCACCAATTCTGCAGCTACAGCAGGGATTTTTCCAGAAGGGATGCCATATAAGTTTTAGGGCAGTAATTCCTTTTTGCCTTACTATACAAACTTCCAATATCTAATGTAACAACAGTCTAATGTAAGGATGAATTACCTTCTCTCTTGGAACAAAAGAACTTGGTTCAAAAATCAATAGCCTGGATTGCTCTTTACACCTCTGCTTTTAAGAATAGCGTCACTTCCATCTTAATAAGTATTCAAGATACATGCAAATATCCTGTGCTTTGTTCTCTTAAACCTGATGATCTTTGCAGAGGGACAGAAAGGGGTGTCCCTCACATTTTAGAAACACAAGACATATCTATTACTCATTTCCAGGCCTGAGAAAGAATTCAAGTAGCTAATTTACAGAATTAAACCATTACAGTCTGACACTCCCATCCAAGACCATGGAAGAGCATAACCTCCGACCATGCCTGAGGGCACAGCATAGAGGCACATGTAAGAGGTGAGGTTTTTAACAAGAGTAGCATAAAATTAACAATTAGCCTGTTAACAGTTGGTGTATATTAACCTTTATGTTCACAGGATGCTTATTTCCCAAGCAGGTTCAGACCCACGAAAAAAAAAGATGTCTCTGTCCTCAGGAGGGTGGAAAAGAAAGTCTGAACAGTGGAGGAAAAAAGGCTGGTAACAAGGGATCTTGGGATGCTGCACACCTGCTGCAACTTTCTTCTTTTCCAGTGTGAAATGTCATGACACACTTGGAAGCCACATTCAGCCATCAATATTTATAAATCCCAGAAACTATCAACTTGCTTTTGAGAGCAGATTTTTATATACAGTGCAACTCCAGCAGACTATAAGACAAGCTCGATACCAAACTAATGAGAAATGAGATGAAGTTAATACACTGTAAGCCTTGGTTAAATCTATTTGTCCTATTTATTCATTGCCTTTTTGATATGGAACCTTTAAATATGAAATCTGTCCTGTTCATAATTATTGCTTACTTAATCCTTCAAAGTCTATGAATAATGAGACAAAAATATCTGTGACCATTGTTGAAAGAAGGAATATAGAGATTAAATACTCTGTCTAGAACAGGCACTTGTAGAATAAATATCCCCATTTCTTCTCCGTTAGCAAATGTAAAAAAACTCTTTTTCCTAAAAAAATTACAAGGCTGCAAGTATAAATGTCAGCCAGCCTCAAGGTGATCATCATCTAACTTGAGAAAAAAAAATTATAATTTTTGTGAGAATATGTTGGTTGATGGGAACTGCTTGGCATCTCCCATAGCCAAGCCACAACCTGGACAGAGAGATACTTTTCTGAAGCTCAGCATTTCATTATTCAGTATCTGCCATCTTCATGTGTACAACTGAATTTACCTTCTTACAAATCAGCCTAGTGAGCCAACACTTTAATGCCTATTTCAAAAGAGGGAAACATAAACCAAGAGTGATCAAGTGTCTTGCCAGTAGTGGAGGAAGAAAGCTTCACATAAGAAAGATGTTGAGGAAACTGCTTTCATTTCACTAGCTTACTGGGGGAAAAATTAGATACATGTATATGAACTCAGTAGTTCTTTAGGGAAAATCTTTAGTTGAAAATTTTCTGGTAGAGCATGTAGGCAGTAATGAAAAATAGCAAAAATCTGGGCTTGAATGAATGATCCTTACAACTATAACACACTGTAAATGAAAGACTAGCTAATGCTATGTCCTGTCTAGCCCTGGCTCCATACATTTTTATATGGTGTGAGGCTTGGTCTGGAAAACTCTCATTTACACACAAACCAATACCTGAAACAGAGCCTGAAGGACTGACAAGACTTCATCCAGCAAAGATTATAAATCCTATTATTAGAGATTTCCAAAGAAAAGCAGCCTCGGGTTGACACAAATGTTTTGTTCTGCTTGAAAGTCCATTTTAGTGATCATCAGAGCACTTTTTTTTTTCTTTTGCTTGCAAAAATATGTTGTTTTCTTACAGTGAAGATCCAATACTCAGTGATGATTAAAGTTGCAAAGAGGAGTTACCTTCTTACTCTGGGCTAAGAATAAGCTGCAGGATGAACAGGCTACATCCATGTGAGAAAGAGAGGAGAGAACTGCTGTAAGTTTCTAAGAAACCTGGTGATTTATTTATCCAGAAAGTCTCCATCCATGCTCTTCTTCAGCTTGTCCACCCTCATACAGGTCTGAACAATTCTCAGAAGACTAGCATGGAGTAAAATGGAGAGGTCCCTTCTGAGAAAAGGGTTTGGACGGGGGCACAGGGGATCAGGGGAGAAGGGAAGACCTCCAGGTAAAAAGACAGAGGTCAAATGACCAAGTGATTCTCAAGATGGAGTCCTTTATCTCACTGAAAGGAAACACATGGGGGCAGTGCTCAGCTTGCTGGGGTCCAAGCTTAGGCTCTTTTCAGACCTATGTTTTTCTAGCAAAGTGAGAAGTCCAGCATACTGCTGAATGTTACACTGAATAACACTGCCCTTCTGGATGTACCAGTGGAATAGTTCCCACATGGCTCGATTAATATATACAGCTACTTCAATTCAGGCACTGCTCTCTGTAGAAACTGAACCCCAGCCACATGCTTGCCTTGAGCACTCAGGAAGGCTGGCCAGATGCTGGACTAACCTGCAATGTGCTAACACATCGGTTAATTCTTTCCTCTAGCACTAGCTGGGAACCCTTCTGAAGGCAGGTGCTCTTCAGCTGTGTCTGTTGCTGTAGCTCCTATTGTCTCTGTGTTTTTGTAGTGGGTGTTCTCCTGGTTCTTGGGCTGAAGTGGCTCAGTGTGCCATCAAAGAAAGGCTGATTCTCTCTCCAGCCTAATCAAAACAGTGCAAATGCTGAAGTAGAAGAACATTTTGTATGTTGAGATACTATGAATAGACAGTGGTCTGAAGACAAAATAAGACACTTACCAAATCTGCCTTCCTAAGATGGGTCATCTTGCAGTGAGGAATAAAGTCTGCAGGTTCATTTCTTCTTCCTCTAGTGCATCAGGGCATTTCCCTTTTTAAGTAGTCTCTGTTCTTTGTCTTCATGGACACACACATGTGTTTCCCACCTCTCTGAAAGGAAAGGCTGCAACAGAAGAAAGATTGCAATCATTAAAATCCCACCTGCAAAGAGTGCAACACCCAGTACCATCCTGTGAGAGCCTAGCAGGTAGAAATGAGCCTGTCACGAAGCAACTGAATGTTTGAGCCCTCTTCCATTCAGACTGCCGATAAAAGCGAACCCAGGTGGGATAAGGCTGTCAAACAAAAAGGCCAGTCTTTTAACTCAGATGTTTAAATCAGATTTAAAATAAACACCCAGCCTGTCTGAATTATTTCAGAAGACAGATGAAGGGAGGACAATGAATAACTGCCTTCTTCTCTCTTTACTTGGCATTAAACTATCTGACACAGGGAACAGTCAGAGGACTAAGCAGATTTGCAACCTGAAGCAGAATGGATTCAGAAGCACCAGGATGCTTCGGGGCTCAATTCCCTTTATAACTCCAGCCTCCTTGGTCAGAGAGAAAAGGAAGGGGACACTCTATGTCCTGCAGTTAAATTAAAGTGGCTTTTCTCTGCTTCAGTCTGCAGCGAGGGGTTAAGGAGTCGGTTGGGATCTCCTAAGGTACTGCATATTAAGGATCAGGTGCCAGAGGCTCTGAAAACCTCCACATTGAGACTGTTGGCTTCTCTGAAGCTGGAAGTGTTGAATCTCATGTGACATAAAGCTAAGCATTACTGAAGTGATTAAATGAGCTGCCCAAGGGAGAAGCCTTTCAAAGAGGTTCATCCCCTCAGTCGCCCTCACTTCCCCCATCTCTTGCCACCCCTCAGAACTGGGACTGTCTTTGTGCTCTGCCACAGACCTTTCTGTTACAGCCAAAACCTGTTGCACAGGCAGCTGGCAAAGAAAAGTATCCATCCCACTGGTGTACAGGCAGATCAGGAGTGTCCTCTCATAAAAAGTATAATGACCTCAAAGCAAATGAAGTGTCTCTTACTACCTATCTTAAACATCACTAGAGTGTGGAATGAAACCAGCTTCATGCTAGACAGCTTCAAGTCCAGACTTGACACTATTGAACCTTACTCAAATAACCAGCAGCATTCAGACTAGTCAATAAAAAATATTACTGACAGTCTCTTTTCTCCTCTAAGCCAAGTGAAAAAAGCAATGCCACATGCTTGCCAACGATATATTTTGCAGTGAGTATCATCTCAAAAAAACACAACCATTTCCCAATTAAGAAATGTGGTCTCTAGTGAGGCTTAGCACAGATCTCATGGAGCCACACTGTTATTAGTACGAGCTGAGCACTGGTCAGGTCTCGTATCAAGCCGATTGTTACACCCAGCAGTGTCTCAGTGCCCCCAAACCAAAATTTGAGCATTAAACTAATTAGCAGTTTGCTACTGCTTTTACATATCCCCTGCAAACAGCAGGATAAAAGATAAATAAATTGTTAGCTTCTCCTAAAGGCTTCCAGACTATTTATTTATAGACTCATTTATAGGTGCCCTTCACAGAAGCATCTGACCTTTTCATAATGATTACTGAACCTCTCACATAAAGTCTGTGCATAATGAGACAGCATTATGGTGCCCATTTTAAAGAGATCAGAACATGGACTGAAAGCAAGTAAATGAAATGGTCTGGTTGTGGATGCAAGCTGTTCCACAGACACACGCCAAACAAAGATGCTATTGCTCTATTACATCTCCTTTAAAAGCCACTCAGACTGGTTTGGTGCAACTGGAAGAACTTTGTAAGACTATAACAAATTGGCACTGGATCCAGCAATGGCAGTAATAAGGTGCTCATAGACAAGCCATCCTATCAAACACTATCAGCACCTTCTGATTACTGTTCCTCTTTGTGGAATGGACCTACGATGGTAAACTCACACTTTTGAGGCTGACCTTTGTTGTAGTCTCCTAAGTTGCTCTTGATGCACCACTCATCGTGGGCAAAGGTTTCTTCTGCATGAAAATTAAGGCATGTTGGAGAGTCAGAGCAAAGCTTCATTTCAGCCCTTCGAATAAACCCATCACTCACAATATTTACCTTTCATTTCCTATCAGTGAAACAGAGATTGCTGTACTGACATTTGTCCCTAAGTATCAACTGCAAATTTGATTCTTTCCTGCACTACCATTCTGGAAAGTTTCCAGGTGGTTGTTCTCATGTGAAGGTGCCATCTTGTCAACAAAACAAATGCAAAGAAGCTACTGCTAGAGCTGCATCTGGGTGACAAATAGAACCTCTCTATTTCTAGAGGATTACTGATTTTAAGCCTGCATCCCAGGCCACTGAGAATCACCTAATGAAACCAAAGATGTGGGAATGGTCACTGACTTTCATTATCAGAGAAGGAAAGACCTAAGATCAGCTGCAAACTAAGTACTGTCACGTCCTAACTTTGTGCTTTTTGCCCCAGAGGCAGTTGACATATCTGCTAAAAAATTCTGCTGGAAATATAAGAAACTTAAGGACCACCCTAAAAACTCCTTCCAGCTTGATGTTTATACCAGAGTACTTTCTGTCCAAATTCTGATTTAAAACAAAAAAACAAACAAACAAACAAAATCACAACAAACAAGCCTTTAAGTTTCTCCACTGGTGAAGAACAGAAGCATAGGCATAACATGTCTCTCCCCTGAAGGTAATTTGTTAGCAAGTCTTGTCCAATGTTGAAGGGATGCATGTATTTCTCTTAAGTTGTGGTACCAACAACCTCTTTTCCTATAGACAGGATCATAAAATAGTGGAGATGGGTAAATCTGGCCCATTTCTTTTCACACCAAAACAGCTTCCAGAAGAACATGAAACATCCCCTCACTCATGTCCTACAGCAGTGTTTGAGGCATTCAGGGATTCAGCAGCAATGTTGTTACAGAAACTCACCCAGACAGGAAAGAACAATCCCAGCAAAACACATCAAACGGCTTGAGGGCAAACACTTTTATGAAGGATTTCATGACCTCATGGGAAGCTATTGCTATGTCCCTATACAGTGTGCACAAGTTATTAATGGATAATTATCTTCCTAAGGAAAGAACAAGAAGTGTACAGTTTAAGAAACTGAGAAGATAATTACTTTGGAAGTATGACCAGGTGATCACAAGCACTTTTGAACAGATGCTATCTGAGATATACCATGCTTTTCCTAAAAGTGCCAGGCCCTCTCAGGTGCCCCATACAGGCAACATGGCAAACTCATGACAGTGCTGACTGAAACTGGAATCAGAGGGAGGAAAAGAGGAGTGAGTGAGTACTGCAAGTGCCTAGTTTTTCAGGTATATTTGAAGATTCAGGAGGTTGTTTTCCACTCAATCCTTCTTATCACTGTAAATAGAATTTCAATTTCAATGTAAATACTATGTTTAAAACTCAAAATTTCAGTAATTTGTGTCATGGGATTATCTTTTCTTTCAATAAGAACAATCACAGGCTTTAATTATCTTTTTTTCCCTTTTTTGTCCTGTAAACATAACTCCCGCCCCCATGTTATTCATACAGTTTTGTTCTATATTAAGGTTTTGTACTAATGAACTATTTATGACCTGAGATTTCCATCCCAAATGGTAAATGATTTCATTTTACACTGTAGTATTCTAATTGAAACAGCTTCTAAGGGCATCACCATACAAGTAACTCCGGACATCTATACCACATCAACTAAACTAAATTTTCAAGTAGCATCTCAATAGCTGCATTCAGGACACAACCCTCTAGTTACATTTCAGCCTGGCATCAGTGAGAGAAACAGCAGCATCCTGTTGTGTTACATTATATGGTCTCAGTTAAAACAGTGCAGTTCAGAGGTTACCACTCTATAAAGTATTTGTTTTTATTGCCTTGTTCTTTTGATACTTTGAAGAAAGATAAGGGTAAGAAAGGGACATATATAAAGCAATTTTATTGTCTGAGCACTCACTGGGTTACACAAAGATTCAATGTTTGCTTTCAGCTTTTTTATTATTATTTTTTAAATAAGAAAAACCTTGCAGGAGACATAGAAACTGTTATGATTATTTGTCCAACTGACATGATGCCTCTTAGGCTAGTTTCTAGTTTTAAACTATCATTTTGGCAAAAGATTAGACTATTTCCAGACAACAGTGGATGTACTAAGCCACCTTGTAATGCCTGCAGAAACAGAGGAACTAATGAAGGAAAAAAATATCTTTGTTATCTAGGCCTAGCCACAAGTGTACTCTTGCCAGGATTCTTAATGAATATTTTGCTGCTTTGTGCTTTTTGCTTGATACCTGCCCTCCAACAACTGCAGATTCTGGAAAGACTTTACAATCACAGGAGATTGTGCTGTAACAAGCAATATTTTAACTAAAAGGCAGAGAGTCCCTGCAGACAGATCTAGATTAATTACAGGGCTGGGCAATCAATAACAAGGGCAAGTGCCAGATTCTGCACCTGGGATGGGGCAACTCTGGATCTATGTACAGACTGGGGAATGAGATGCTGGAAAACAGTGCTATGGAAAGGGACCTGGAGGTCCTGGTCAATGGCACATTGAATGTCAGTCAGCAGTGCCCTGGCAGCCGGGAGGGCCAACTGTGTCCTGGAGGGCATCAGGCAAAGCATTGCCAGCTGGTTGAGGGAGGAGATTGTCCTGCTCTGCTTTGCACTGGTGCAGCCTCATCTTGAATATTATGTGCAGTTTGAGGCACTGCAATATAGGAAAGATATAAAGCTATTGGAGAGTGTCCAAAGGAGGGCAACAAAGATGGTGAAGGGCCTTGAGAGGAAGCCACCTTCTATGAGAAGCACTGAGGGCGCTTGTTCTGTTCAGCCTGGAGAAGAGGAGACTGAGGGGAGACATCATTGCAGTCTACAACTTCCTTGTGAGGGGAAGAGGAGGGGCAGACACTGATCTCTTCTCTCTGGTGACCATATGACAGGACCCAAAGGAATGAGCTGAAGCTGTGTCAGGTGCAGTTTAAGCTGGATATCAGAAAAAGGTTCTTCACCCAGAGGGTGCATTGGGCATTGGAACAGGCTCCCCAGGGAAGCTATCACAGCACCAAGCCTGACAGAGTTCAAGAAG